CACCCGGCGGACAAATTCTTACGTTCCTTCATACTAAGAATAAGAGTCAAAACACTGCAGGTACTCAAAAAATGAAGCAAATAAATAAAACTATATAAACAGGCTTTGTTTACAAAATAAGGAGGAGTTCTATAATAGCGACATGAATAGTGGGTTTGTAACAAACTTTCCAACTACAGGATTTAAATATATATCTGAGATGAAACATGGTCTGAAACTAGGAATGAAAAAAATCTGATAATCTCTGCTATTCGTATGTTCAGCTGTAGTCTCCACGGAAAATGCTCAATTAGATAAAATGTTTTACCACTGCTGATGTTTGTACATAGGCCAGATGACGTTGTAAAACAAAGAGTCATTCAAGCTAACTCAAGGAGCAAGACCTCAATGTCAGGGTCTTATTTTCCCCTATAAATGGATAAGCAAACACATTCTCTATTTTGTTTTTCTGCACAGGCAATTTCTTTCACTCATTTATTCAGAAAAATAAGGAGATTGACTTTAGGGTTTAGAACAAGCAGTGGGCACACTAAAGGCTACAGGCTGAAATAATGCCTAAATAGTCAAACTAAATCCCTGGGAAGTGCAGAAAATCAGCAATTAATTCTCAATATGAAAGAAAAAAAACTATTCCAAAGTTAATATAAATTAAGAAGTAGTCACTTGATGGACTTTAAAATATCCTTGGACATGGTGTCTTTAAAAGCAAGACCTTAAAAATATTGTGACATGGTAAGTAAAAACAAAAAGATACAACTATTAACAAATGAACTCATGTGGGGGAAAATGTTCATATTAGGGCATGAAAGCCTTTCTTCATGAGGAGAAGCTTTTCCTATTATTTGTAATAGGGTGACATTTCTTTTGAAATTTGATTGGAAAAATGGAGGAAGTCATTTGAATAGAGTCTTCAAGGAAAAAAAATACAATTTTGCTCTCAGAGTTATGTGAAGAAGGCAAGGTTGCAAAGAAATCTAGAAGCACCTTCAGAGACCCCAGGTTGCTGATAAGGCTGGGTCAGGCCCTGGGGGGGGGGGGGGGGGGGGGGAGATGCTGCGAAGTGTGGGAGGGGAGGAGGCCCAAAGCCAGAGGACCAAAAGTCAAGGTTCTTCTTGAATACTCTGCTATGGACTTGGGATCTGACTCCAAAGTAAGAAACCACAATGAGGAAGAATAGTTTGGTCCAAGCTGAGCTTTAAAGAGCTGGCTCTGGTGGCAGGAAGAATGCCTAGGGCCAGCTCAGGGTAGGTGCTAGAGTGTGGCTAAGCAGTCAAAGCAGGAGGAGAGCTTGCCTTGAGGGAGCAATCACTGGACTTATGAGCTTCCCGGAAAGTGCCGTCACTAGGCAGATCTAGTCAAGTGGACTTAGTGTTGACTAATCACTGGATCCCTGTAGAAGCTGCTTTGACAGCCCATGCTGACATACCAGAAAATGCTCTGCTACATACAAAATCCACACAGAGTATAATCCCAGGCAACTGCTGAAATTTGGGGTGGTTGGGGGGGGGAGACTTTTCAAAGAGTAGAAAATACCACCAATTTAGTGAAAAAATAAATTACAGAAGAAACAGAATCAATCTTACAGCGAAAAACAGACACTTAATATGTGAAAGCAAACACACTCTGGTTAGAAGCATCTCATTTCACTGCTCCATGGGCTCATCAATGTATGTTTCCTCTTGAGTGACTCTCCTACTCAGCCCTGACTGCACGTCCTTATCTCTCTCCACTTATGCAGGATTTTGCTAAAGCTCATCACTGAAGAAGACTGACTCCCCAAATACAACACTCTTTTCTGGGTTCTCCAAATTATTCACTGTACATCCTACCAATAGCAAACAGTCCAAGTATACCCTCAATTCATGTGCATATTTATACATCAAATATATGATTACTATCAGCTTGCATATTATTCACAGATTTGTTTCATTAAAAAAAGAATAAAAATGACTTTTTTTTAAATACCCAAAGGAATGATCTTCCCTTTTAGAACACTAGAATACACTAGAAAAGCCCATATTCACTCCAACAACAAAGGGAGAGAAGAGTCTCTGGGCAAAATCCAGCTGGACTGGACCCCAACCCCTTGTCAGGCAGGAAGGGACCCTCCCTTAGGATGTGGACAGGCTCTGGGAAGAAGGGAGTGATTTTTTGCTTCATATTCTCTAGCCTCAGCATATTGATGATCCTTGTCTTGCTCCACTATCTCATCAAAAGTTTTAAAATGCTGATTTTCGAGTTCTTTATTCCTTTTGCATTTATTAGCTATGATTTCTCTATGATTAACAACTTTCTCTCATCAAATACTTGATTATCTTTAAATGTAATTTGTGCTAGAAAGGCTGGACCAAAGCTGGATTCTTTTCATTATTTTTTCCCAGAGTAATGAAGTGATGTCTTAGAAACATAATTTTGTGGGATTGTTTGGGGGGACACTCTGGACTTACGGACTTCTTTTGGTTTGATTTTAGTCCACTTAAGTCTTAATTTTTTGATGTTCAAACACTTCCATTTTGGGTTCCATACCCTTTAATTCTGTCTTGTCTATCTTATCTAATTCTATTGATCTTAGCTTCCTTGCTTTCTGGCATAGCAAGATATTTACTGCCCAAAACCTGGAGTTGGCTATTTATCCTTTGTGTGAACATTAAGACTCAGAACCCTACTTAACTGAGGTTGAGAGGCAAGAGAGTAGTACCATTGCAAGCATGATCAGCAGATTGTAGGACCCAGCATGCCTTGTATATGTCAGTGTCCCTTTCCAGTGGAGCTTACAGATGTTACACAGGTCAGATTGCGGTGAGAAGCAGGGTCTGTGCATCTCACCACATACATAATCTGTCTGCCTACTCTCCTGGGGGTTTGTCTCTCAATGAACCTTTCTTTAACAACTGATTTCATTCACTGGACATCAATACCTAGAAGGAGGTTCCTTTATGTGGGAAAGCTATTTAAGGAATCTCACCTGAGTGCTAAGGATACCTATTACTACTGGAGTTGTTTTTACTTTTGATCCTTTTCAAAGTACATAGATAGGAAACATTTCCTTTTTAAGAAATGAGACAAATTCATGTTGACATTTCAAGCTGAAGATTACATAGTCTTGACTTAAATTCTTTAAGTATTCCTCTTTCCTTGTAAACTGAAATCTTGTTCCCATTGGTATACTTGTAATGGTTTCAGTAACAATAAAAGTATTTCCAGCATGAATGTATGGTCCAAAGTCAGCAGGAATAGCTGTTGGTGAGAGATTAACACTAACCTGGTATCACTGTGCTGTTCCATTTTTTTCAATCTGTTTTCAATTTTTAGTGATTGTGTTCTTACTTTTCTACTTAAGTTTATGAAATAGTTACAGTGTTCCAATATCAAAATAATGGGCTTCTATCAACCACTTTCTCTCCCTGACCCTGCAAATCCCTTCTTTAGGGGCAATCATTTTTATTTGTTTTATTATTTCCTTTGAAATCACAAGCAAAATGTGGCCTCCTTCATGGCACAGTGGTTAATGTTTCAGCATTATCAAGCTATCTGGACCACTGTGGCATGAGTTCACTTCCCAGCCAGGGAGCTGACTCACATGACACAGCAAACCTCTCCTGTCTCATCCACTGCTCCCCTCTGCAATTTATCAATCCAACTGTTCTGTTCCCCACTCTGTCTCTGGTGAATACTCTTACACCAACACCAAAGGCTTACACCGCAATCCTGATATGCATAAAAAATAAAAAGAAATCACAAGCAAAATCACTAACACATACATATTTCTCCTCTATACCCTTTTTTTCATAAAGACATAACTACAATTGGCTTTTCATCATTTAATGTATCCTAAACATCTTCATGCAGAGCAGTGGAGACCCTCCTTATCCCTTTTTCACAGTTGCAAAGAACTTCACTCTATCAGGAACCATGTTAAAACTCAGAGCAAATTATGAACATTTTTGGGTTAATTCCTGTTTGTTCTTATCACAATTATGTCATAATAAATAACCATGTGTGCATTATTTATAGTTTTTGCTTATGTATCTTTGGGGTAGACTCTAGATATGACCTGCTTAGTCCAAGGAAAGATGAATATGTAGTTTTGCTAGGTTGTGAAAATACCCTTCCACTAGAAGTAAAGAACTACTCTATCAAAAAAGAAGAGCATCTCACCATCAGAACAGGTATGCTAGCAAACTTTGGATTCTTGATAATCTGATACTTGGGACACTTGTGCAAATAAATTTTTATTACTGAGTGGGGTTAATATTTTTTCATATGTTTGGGACAATATACTTCTTTTTCTTAGGAACTATTAATAGTTTTTGCCCATTTTCCTGCTGGCGAGTACAAATTTTTCTAGTCAATTTTAGGATCACCTATGTTAGTGATGATAATGTTCAGTGATAAAATCTGCTTATGGTGTTATTATTAATGTTGTGTATCACTTTATATGTCATCTCATAAAATAATCACTGCTATTGTCAATGATGACACCAGTGATTAAGACAAGGTAAGATTTAATTATGGTTGGTGTTTAAAGGGTCAGTAAAATATGAAAGATTTTAAGTAACTCCATTTTTAAAAGGACAACTTTTTCTTTACAAAGTTTAATGCTGAAATAATTAAGATTAAATTATTTGGAAATTTTATGTGCAAAACCTCATTCCTCATCAGTAACCTAGTGGATACTGAACAGCATCTGGGTGGTAGGAACACATTTAGTATTTAGTGCCTTCCGATCCAAAGTCTACCCAAACTCCTTTCCCAAATTGTTTCAAGGGATACTACATATTGAACATTTTCCTCCAGAACATTTCTAAGGGATTCCACACAATGATCACTTGATCTTTTAATCTCAATTTAAAAAAAAAACCACAGTCCTTCCCAAGGGCAAGGTTTAATGCACACAGCATTGCAGCTATGGGCCCTTAGATCACAACCCACCGCATTTCTCTTCCCAACTCTCTCCTTGGTGGCATTTGGAAAGTAGAGGTGAACATTAATATACTCACGGAACATGGTATAGAACTGCTGTGGGTTCAGATTCCACTTGCCCCAGGGCGTCTTGTGGCCTTTTGACTGGGCATAGTTAGCATGGTTAAACTCTGGTTCGGTGCCAAATGAATCCAGGACTCGGAGCATACACCTGAAAGAGAAAAATACTGTCAGTAAAACTATAACCTTTGGCCCCAAGGCTCACAGAGTAAAGCTCTAACTCCTCTACAGAGACTTCCAAATGAAGACAAATCCTTTTCATTAATAATTTCACTGGGGGGCCCTCCCTGGTGGTGTAGCAGATTAAAGCACTGCACTAAGATGCTAAAGCCACTTCAGCATGAGTTCGATCTCTGCCTGTCCCGGAGGAGACCACATGGTGTGGCAGACCTCTCCTGACCTGCCCGCTGCTCCCCTCAGCAAGCAGTGTACTTTGTCGATCTGCCTGTT